ATGGTGTCCCATGTGATATGCACAAAATAAACTTATGAAAAATTAATCAAGAGGGTGATGGTGTGTATGATAGTGTATGTCGGATGTTTAATTTAGCAAGAAACTAAGATTAAGTGTTTCGATCTGAGTAATCTATTCCATTGAGAATGGTGATAGTGGTCAGGGAGTTTTATTACTCAAGGTGTGGTGTATTGAGATGTGTGTGATGTCTTTTATGTGTAGGCAGAATTTATAATTTATAAACAAGTAAAGTTAACTCCGTAGAGCTCTGATTGAGACGTCATCCTCGTAACAGAGAGCGGAGTAATGCCGTGAAGATCGTCTTATCCTCTTAACAGACAAAGTGATAACGGTATGATCCTTTGAAGCTCGTCTTATTTTTGTAAAAAAGGAGGTGATCTCACGAGACTGACAATCTATTCTTGATGACCGCGTTCCAACGGATTGGATAGAGATTCCCGCGTCTACTAATAATGGGTTGGGTCTCTAAGGAGAGTCGGCTTGACCCAATTAAAATTGTGACTGAACTTTTGTTGATTTGTATCTGTGATTTGAGTCTGAGCTATAATCATGGATTTAGTCTGAGCCGGGCCATCACCATGAATTCAAATGAGACTAAGGAGGTAATTTCATATTCACAAGCTCACGGACAATTCCCAAAAAGTCAATTGAAACAAGTTTACAGTTTATAGCTAACCTCCCACCCAGGCCACTGGTTCGTCCATGTGCTCAACCAGCTTCCACAAGCTTTAAAAGTCATCTTTGAAGGATCGTGTTAATTAATAATTAGGAAATAAAAAGGAGGATTAATAAGTTTGAAACATTCATGGACAGGGTGTCTTAGCCGCCTTTGTTGGATCTTTTGGTTGTAGAGCAAGACCCAAAAATGATTGCATGGAGAGCGTCACGCAAGGACGCTAATATACTAGTAACTTGGTCACTTGTTTTGATTAAAAAAAACCCTGCACTCTCAAATTATTGCAATAGAACTGTTGCCACTCTCTCCTTTTATTTATTTTTCATTTAAAAAAATTCATTACTGATGCCGGATAAGAATTAGCAATTATTTTATTTTTATTCATTTTTATTATTTTTTTCTTTATTCTAGAGGTAATTTTCTTTTTGATGAATTTTTCTTTTAAAGATTAATACTGTTATTCTATTAGGAATCATATTCTTAATCTACTAGAAATATTTTTCATTAGAATTAAAATTCCTTAGCCTACAAGGATTAGGATTTTAATACTATAAATAGGGTTATAAGCCTTAAAATTGGGAGGTCTTTTATTCAATATTATTAATTTTATTCTTTCTAAGAGTGCTTTTAACCATGGTGTGCCAAGTTTTTTTGAATATTGACGCTGGTCATACGTTTACTGTATTCCGCTGCGTCAATAACTTTTATGACTGGACAAGTTTTATATCAATTGTAAATGTTCAATTACACAACATGCTTACCAATCTATGGGGCTCACAGATCTTGAAAGGAAAGGAAAGGAAAGGAAATGCTATGTATTGTTCTTAAGCTTAGCCTATCAGTCACTGTTTATCACACTTGGCAAGAAAGAAATGACAAATTCTTGGAAATACAGCTTTTGTTAATCCGTCATAAAATATTAAAAAGTGTTGAGGCCCTAAACAAAAATTCTTATTTTCACAATCTGTTGACCTAAAATTCTTGCGAACAAAACAGACATTTACAAAAATAAGTAGTTACATGAATAGAACAATTGATTATATCAAGAAGCTCAATAAAAATAGAACAATATATACCACATAATAAATAGAGATTGTATAAGTTTTCACTCTTTGTACATTTTTCAAATCTCCTAATATTTTAAACTTTCTAAAAACAAAATTAAATAAATGTTTGATTAATAAATATAATACTTTTTAAAACCATTATGGTGGTAATAAATAAATTTGTGTGTATAAGAATTAGGGGAGACTAGTTAATTGTAGCTAATAGAGAGAGAGAGAGAGAGAGAGAGAGAGTTTTAAAGTGATCTGAACCGCGATTACCAAAAATCATTTTATTTATTTTTTGAAATTTGAATTGTAAACTATTTTATTATATATATGTTATTAGATTATTTAAAATATTGGATTTATTTAAAATTTTGAATTATGTTGGCTTAAACTTAAGCTTGAGTTTGGGCAGGTACGGGAACAAGGACAAAGATTAGAAATTTACCCACGAATGGGGATGAAGATTAAAACTATAACTATTCACGGGAGTAGATCAGAGATGGACGAAATTTTTTTAAGTGGGTACGTTTGTAAAAATTACACTCCTCGCCCCCGCTTCGGTCCACTCACTAGCCCTATCTAATCTTTGGTTTGAGAGATCAAAAATGGATGAAAGAATGGGTAAGAGTTCAGACTACAATTATTTGTTTTTGAACAGCTCCTACATTGTCACTTTTTTTAAATTGATCCTTCAACTTTAATTATTAATTTTATATTATCTAATTGTAGATATTAAAAACTCTTATTATATTATACATCTGGCCATTTTTTTTGGGATACAAGTGGGATACTTATGCTTCATCCGATAGTAAAGATGGAAAGTAAGAAGGATGAAAAGTAAGATGGATACACATTCAATCCTTCAAGGATGAAAAATACGAAAAGATAGATTTTTCTTCATTTGTGTTTGGTTAGATAGATAAAAAATAAAAATAACTATTTTTTTTTTTGTGCTGGCTAAGATTAGGGGTGACAATCGAGTCAAGTCGTGTCGTGTCAGATTGGTGTTAAGTAATTATGAGTTTGTGTCGAATATTAATCAAACATAACTTAACTCATTTAACTAATTGTATCGTCTCAAGTTGCAAGTTGATCTGTTTATTTTCGTATCGAGTTCGAGTCTTATCATCGTGTTGAGTTTAAAATTTTTACCCTTAGTTAAGGTGGAAAAAATATTTTTTTTTAATTTAAATTTTAAATTTTAAATTTTTTATTTTTTATTTTTTTAAAATTTTTTAAAATATATATACATATTTTACCATTGTATTTTTATATGAAATTAATGTATACATAAGATATATAGACAAATAAGATACATATCAACATAAATAATTAACTTTTCATCCACTTTCCTTCCGATTTTGAAATGATTGATTTTTGTGAGTTGGAAGGAAAGTTAATTCATCCACTTTTTTATCCTTCTTACTTTTCTTCCTCACCAAACATGATATTTTTTTTATTCCTTCAACTTTTCATCCTTCCAACTTTTCATCGTTTCACTTTTTTATCGTACCATACGGAGCATTAGTTTTTGAAGCAATGAGAAACCAGTTCAAATTGTCAAGGAAAAATGTGAGAAATACAATGGTTAAGAAAACAGTATTAGATTGAGTTCATAAATATTTTTTTTGGGTAAGTAAGAGAATTTTTATTAATTGAAAGGATTATCAAGAAGTAAATCCCAAATACAATTAAATCCAAATCAATGGGATGGCAGGTCTAGCAACCATCCCTGCCACAAAATCCAGACAGATAGAAAAGGAAAAGGCATAAAGATGCATCAAAAGATCCACTGAACAATAATCTAAAGCAAAAGGAAATCCCAAATTCACCATAAAGGCAACCCAACAAAATAGGGGTTAAAGTATAATTTATTTTTAAAAAATGAAAAGTTGCAGAAAGAACCCCTAATTTCAGATTAAATAATAAGAAAAACGGGTTGTAAACTCAGATAATTATAAACTCAAAGATCTCATCATTCCGAAGAACCTGTAATATTAAAAGAGATAGCTCAAATAATAATAGAAATGAGTTATAAATTCAGACAGATCAAAGTTGAATCTTAACAACCATTTAGAATGAAATCGTGAGGGATTTATCTTTCATGAATACTCTACTTTAAGCATAAATGATCTATCTTTGATCAGACCGAGAATAGAATTAATTAAATTATAAATAAATTAATTTGGACACTCATGCCTATTGAACAAAAAAATAAAAATAAAAATAAAATATCTTAGCCGTGGGCATATGTCTACTTGATTCCCGCAAGCTGGAGGAAATAAATAGGGCTAATACTCACTTATGCTTCAAAAACTCACTTGAATTTTAATTTATATCTTCAAAGTTTAAAAATATTAAATTATACCTTAAAAGATATAAATTCATATGAATTTGGGATTATGTAAAAAATCTTGAAGAGTTTGAGTATTCAGATATTGAAAATAAACTACAAAATTGGGAGGCTAACCGTCAACCATTTTGTCGTTAAAAAATTTGTCTTAATTATAAATTATACCTTTAAAGTTTAAATATTTCATTTTTATGATCAAAAAGAAATTGTTAAAGTTTGGCCTAATTGCAAAGTTCGTTAAATAGTTCTCAATTATGTCGTGTTCGAGTCAATAAAAAAAATATTTTTAAAAATTTATAAAATATCTATTTTTTACCACCAATACTTGTTAAAGTGCTATTTTTTGTATATAGTATCTGTCAAATCATATTATTCGTATCTAACTTTATTTTGATCGATCAGTCAAAAAATTTGTGAATAGCTATTTAACGAGTATTATATGTAAAAATAGGTATTTTATAATTTTAAAAAATTTTAAAATAGCATTATATGAATTGTAATAAATGTAAAACACATGACACAACATAATTATCTCGACACGAAAATATTTTGTGTTAAGAATATATTTTTATTGACTTGAACAAAACACGACACAAAATGACATGACATAAAAGTGTTATGATACGATACAATTACAATATATTTAACAAATATTTTTGGATGAAATTATTTTTGAACCATAAATATAAAATAATTAAATTTTGAAGTCGTAATTTACAATTAACCAAGACTTTTTTAATGACAAAATAGACTGTGGTTAATCCTTAGTGCACATCAATATAAATTTATGATTTTAATGGCGCGAATTGATATTTTTTGGTACAAATTATGCTGCTTAGACATACAAATCCAAATCTGAGTAGGGCAGTTTTAAGCAATCCGAAAATCGAAGCCAGCCTCACATGAACGCGTAATCACCACTCGTCTCCAACCTCCCATCTTCGACCTCCATGGGCGATGATCATTTGAGCTTTTGCGAATCATCATGAAAAAAAATTTAAGCGATACTAATAAGATTTGCGAGACCTTTAACAGTGTGGGCAAGGTCATAACGAAGACAATTTATTTTTACTTAAATAAGTAGGATTTCACACATAACAAAAAAGTAGATCAATTCACGACATTGACATTATTATTGAGTCGGAATACCAAATCTTACCCCTCATGTAGAGAAGCAGCTTAAAACCCATAAATACTAAACTATAGATGTTGTTGCAACCTTGGTTTGCTCTGCGTAATGAATTACGGTGACATCACACTCAACCACAGCGTTGCCACTACCAGTGTCCCAGTAAACAATCTTAAGCAGGGCAAACCCTCTTGCCATCCTAAACTTCCCTCTCCCTCCTACAACTGCAAGCTCCGCTACTGGATCTGCCGCTATATCTCTCGAAAAAATACTGATGGAGCTTCCATTAAACTTGCCGGTAGTGAAACCAAAATCGAGGTAAAATACCAGAATTAGGTCTTCGCCTTTATTGGATGATATATAGAGGCCCTGAGCATTTCCGATGACCTTCGACGTTGGTTCGGGGCCGACGGTCAAAGGATCGTCGACAACAAACGCGGAGCCAAAGGGTGTTGGATTGTTGTAAACACCTGTGAGGTTGGCATGGGCAACCATGACTGCAGTTGGGTCATCGCCGTTGAGTATGTCATGAAAGAAGAAGTGAAGATGGGTCTCTATTGTGCGTGCAGGATCCTGCACAATATAAAAAACGAGAACAGATCTCTCCATTGGTGAACTTGATTGAGCTAGTTGAGTGACCAACCACGCTGCCTGGAACAGCCTGCGAGGTCCGGTGGTAACCTGAAACGGCAACGGGAGACCCTGGGGGAGCGGAAAAACGATCCAGTAAGCTTGAAAGAGGTTCCTGGAACAAAGAAGAACAAGTTAGAAGGGCGCCGGAGTGTTTTTGGCATATCCCCTCCGACGATCTAGTCAATCTTTGAGAAAGAGAGGAAGGAGAAAACACTGAGAGTGTATTGTAGTAAAGAGTTTTTGTTGCATACCCGTCTTGCCTTTTGCAAAGAGTATTTATACCTCAAAAGCTCATGATTGCTGTCAGTGTAGTCAGTAGGTGATCATTAGGTACAGGCAGTGTGCGCACTGATTCTGATGAGGAATGTCTTCTCTTCTTAACTGCTCGGGCTGGGTCATCGGGATGCCGACGGTACAATGTACTCCTCTCGGGGAGGATGCAATAAATGCTCTGTGTTAGGAGCATTTATTGCCTTTCATTTTCGAGCCTTACCGCATTGAATGCGGTCTCATCAAGGGAATGGTGTAATTAATCGTTTGCTTTCCCAAGTCGCGTGTCAGCAACGGCATGCGGTTTCTCTGTTTTCGATGTGATATCATACGCCACGCGTCCATCCCCCATAGGTTGTGGCCCCTGCATTTCAGTACGTTCTGACACTAATTGTGTAAGACGAGGTCATGATGAATAGCCTAGACTAGCCTAGGCTAATGACCTGTACGTCAATAGCTTATCCTGGAGTAGAGGAGGCGTCCAGGACGGGGTACACCTTGGCACCGAGGAAAGGCTCATCTCGGAATCGAGGGAGGGATACCGACCGAGGTACTATATCAGACCGAGGCTACGTGTTGGTTGTAACTCGTACTGAATGCCATGATCCTATATGACGAGTACCTCGGAAGCGAGGAACTTTGTGCGCCGATGGTGCTTGATCTTAGTAACAGTGTTTTGGTAAATACCGAGGACACGTGTCTTCATCATAGAGTATTTCAGAAAAGTTCCATCAACTGCCCCCCAGCCTTCGATCTTCTGACACCGAGGGCACGCGTCGTAAGGAGACGAAGGGTTTTCCAACAACCACAAATGCTTCATCATTGCCTCGAGCCGCTTTCCCCGGCTTGGGATGTCGTGTGCATTAAATGCGCCGTTTCGTTTTTCACGCCCAATGATGAAACAGCCACTATATAAATGGGGTTCCTCTTGCATTTCCTTATTTCGCCATTCCGAACTTCCTCAAGAGAGCTTTTTCCTGAATCTTCGCCAGAGATCTCTTTCCTCTTCCATCGTCGACTGCCCATTCTTCCTTAAAGTCCTAAGGCCAGCAGACTCATCGTTGCTTCTGAACTTTCTGGAAGGAGTCGCCTAAAGTTTTCCACAAAAAACTCCGTTTGGCATTCGGGTGAGTCCTAGTTTCTTTCTTCTTTTCTTCCTCCTATCCCTTTTTGTTTTTCGATGACTGGACGTGTCTCCGGTTGATACTTAGCGACTAATCCTCGGGAAGCTTCCTCAGGGATTTTTAAGAAAAAACACCTTCCACTTTCTCACTTTCTTAGAGATGCCTCGTCGTCGCCCTGCTCTCGAGAATCCTCAGGCTGGTTCTTCGGGGTCGGGGAAGTATAAAGTAAAGGGTGGTGAGCAGATTAATAGGTTTAAGGTCAAGTACGGCATTCCCCCGTACGTAGACATAGAGGATTATGACCCGGTGGTGCACTTTCCTACCCTCGGGGCCGAGGATGCTATGCCATTTTATACCAAGGCCATAATAGAGGGAGGAATTAGGTTTCCTTTACCCCCTTTACTTCTTCAGTTCCTCTCTCACTTCCGCCTCTCCCCGGGCAGTGTTGCCTTAATGTCTTCAGAATCATTATGGAGGTTTTAGAGCTCAATAGGCGCCTCGGGGTAAATATCGGGCTGAACGATCTCCTTTTTTGTTATTCCCTCTTGAGAGTCATGCCTCACCAACACTTCTACCTCAAAGCCAGGGACCCCTCCATGTACCTTGTAACTCATCTTCCCGACTCGGACAAGGGGTACAAGGACGATATTCTTATTTTCAAGGGATCTTGGCAGAGAGGTTTTGGTCCCGAGTATAACGGTTTGTTATGCCCTCTGGAATGGAGAACAACAAGTACGTCGGTTCCTTCGGGTTTATTATTTTGTTCTCCAGATTTCCCATGTTCATGACTACTTTTTTTTTGTTTGTGCAGATATCCCTGCTCGAGAAACAGCTCCTCCCCCTCGGTCGCTGGTGAACTTTGCCGACCTATCACGGTTTGGAGATTTACTGGTGACAACGGGTTCGGTCGGGCTGCCCACATCCTGCTGAATTACACCCCCGAGTATAAGAAATTTTCACAGCTTCCTCAGCCTTTTGAGCCTTCGCGGTGGTCTGAACTCTTCGATCAGGCGGCGAGGCAAGAGGTCGAGGAAAACTTGGAAAAAGACCCTGATCGGGCTTCGGAGGCAGAAGTAGAGGGAGTAGTTGAAGAGCTCGGGGTCAGAGAGGACTTTGTTCCTTCGGACGCCGAGGTGGGGACTTCGGGAGGAGATTTGTGGCCGGACTTCCAAGTTCTACAATCTCTAGACACCGAGGACGCCCTCGAGGTCGCGATGTCCAGCACGCCTCGCATTGACCTGGGGTTCCTGAGGCAGAGGCAAGTCCTTGCTGCCGGGAGGGGTCGAGGATCGACCGGCGGCGCCCCATCTGCAGGGACCAGTTCCACCCATCCTCAAGAGTTCTCAGTCGGGGTCAAGTGCGTGACCGGGATCCTCAGGTAGAGGAGGAGAGAAGGGTCAAGCATAGGCACGATGGCCTCGGCAGAGGATCCAGGGCATCTTCCGCTCAGCAGCAAAGCGGGAGAGGCCGTGGGTTACCCCTACTCCTCCGCAACAGCAGCAACAGCAACAGCAACGACAACAGCAACAACAGCAACAACGGCAGCAGCAGACTCCCCCTTCCCCTCCGCCGACAGTGGAAGCCGCGGAGTGGAATCCCCGAGCCACCGATCACATGAACCGAGTGATCAGGGTCGATGATTCCATTTTGCTGGATCCTCATGTCGCCAATGCAGTGAGTGAGACACTGCATTTCGAGGCTGACATGGCGGCTCACAGGGGGCGATCAACGAACGTGTTGTTCCGCTCTATCATCCAGAATTTCCTGGTGGTAAGTTCATTTTTGCTTTGGTTTCTTCTCTCTCGCTTTCCATTTTTGTGACACGCCTTTTTCCCTCCTTTGCAGGCTACCCAACAGATCTCCATAATAGCTGCGCGGTACCATGGGTCTAGGATGGACCTCCAGCGGGCCCGAGAGCAGAAGGAAGAGGCGGAGGGGGCCCTCGCCCGAGCTATGGAGGACGTAGCTGCCAGGGATTCTACCCTGGCGGGGCAGGCTGCTCAAATCGAACAACTCCTCAAGGATGCCGAGTCGGCTAAGGTTGGCGCTGAAAAGCTAAGTGCTGCCCTTGCCGATGCTGAGGGGAGGATCACCGAGCAGACGCGGCGGCTTTCTGCCGCGGAGGAGAGGGCGGTTGGCTCAGAGGAAAGCTGTCTGGCTCTCACCCAGGAGCTGGACAGGATCAGAGCCGAGGCACTGAACAGGAAGTCGGAGGAGCAACTCCGGGAAGAGTTCGCCGATGACGTGCTCCCTGCTCTTGAGGAAAACAGCAAGGAGTTCTTCAAGAAAGGGTGGGACGAGGCGCTCCAGTCTGCTGGAATCCCGTCAGACTCCCCGCTCTTCCAGATGCACAAGTACGTGCCCTCGGCAGAGATGGAACGGGCCGAAGCAGAGATTGCTGCCGAGGATGAGATCCCAACGCCGGTGCAAGTCTCGGCGGATCCGCCCGAGGCAGTGATAGTGGACTTGTCCGAAGAGGCCCCGCCGGACCATGCCCCTGATCCTCATGTTGCTCAAGGTCTCTCTGTTGCCGAAGTACCTCTCCTTCTGCCTGCTCCAGAAGCTTCTCAACCTTTTTATGCTGACTCGCCCTCGGCTGATGTTGTGGAGATGCCCGGGCCCAGATGAAAGCCCCTTTTTCTTTTTGATTGTACTCTTTTTTCTTTTGTAGCCTTTGGGGACGCAAAGCCCCTCTTCTTGAAATAAATCACGAGTACTTTTTCCTTTTTTGCGTACAGTAGTGTTGTTTTTTTTTTTTTTTTTGAACTGTCTTCGGGACTGCTCGCCCATTCAAGAGGCACGCTCTTGTGTTTGCTTCGGGGACAGGAGTCCTTGAACTCTGTCCCCAGGGCCTTGCCCTTCCAGGAGGCTTGCTCCTGTATATGCTTCGGGGACAGGAGCCCTTGAACTCTGTCCCCAGGGCCTTGCCCTTCCAGGAGGCTTGCTCCTGTATATGTTTCGGGGACAGGAGCCCTTGAACTCTGTCCCCAGGGCCTTGCCCTTCCAGGAGGCTTGCTCCTGTATATGCTTCGGGGACAGGAGCCCTTGAACTCTGTCCCCAGGGCCTTGCCCTTCCAGGAGGCTTGCTCCTGTATATGCTTCGGGGACAGGAGCCCTTGAACTCTGTCCCCAGGGCCTTGCCCTTCCAGGAGGCTTGCTCCTGTATATGCTTCGGGGACAGGAGCCCTTGAACTCTGTCCCCAGGGCCTTGCCCTTTATCTTTGTCGTTGGCAAGCACTTGAGGGAGAGAATACTTCAAAAGTAATATTTCTTTAGATTCATAACATTCCATGGTCGCATTACAAGTTTTCCATCCATGCCTTCTAATCTGTACGACCCGGCGCCCCCGATTGATATCACTTTGTAAGGCCCTTCCCAGTTAGGTCCCATTTTTCCCTCTGTTGGATCACGGGTATTGGCCGTTACCCTTCTGAGGACCAGATCGCCTATTCGGAATTCTCGCGCCTT